ACAATATATTTGGACAGGAAACCCTTTATGGATTTTTTGCATAAAATAGGAAAAAGTGAACATTTGATGTATTGGTTTGATGATTATGTAAGAGAGATTATAGAAACAAGAAAGTCATAAATTTATAATTGTACTTATTACTGCTATAAAGAATGGAAATAAATTCTTTATATATATATATATATATATATATTTTCTTCCAAAAAATTTTCTTTTCTTTTTGACTTTTAGCTTTCCCTTCTATTTTTCTTTTTCCTTCCTACTCTATTTTACTTTGCATTAATTTTTACTCCTGTGTTTAAAACGTTCATTAAAATTTTATATATATTTTAACATACACATACACACACCAGTGTATGTATCCTCCTTTATAATTTACAAGTTGTGGCTTTGACCATATAAATATAATTGCTACTTTTAAAATGGTCTCTGGCCAAGTCATTTTACAGCTATTCAAAATAAAATATTCATAGAGCATCAATAATAGTCCACAGACACCATAGAAATTTGTTCCTGGTTGATATGAATGTTTTTCCCAACACCCAGAATTAGAGTGAAATCAGATTCGTAGAAAATGCATGCACAGTGGAAGTGCTACTGAGCTTTTCTTTTTAGATTTTGATGTGAATAATTCAATGTTAATCAAAATTCCAAGACTAGCCTATAGCCAAATTATGCCGATTCATGATTTGCTTAACTAGATTTACTGAACAAACCATAATTAACTAGGTTCCCACAATACTCTGAGTGAAAACCAAGTGCACCTCATTAGAATTCAACATAGCATGTAAACCAAGTCACAATGATTGCTTGACAAGCAAACATTTTCAGATGTGGTAGAAAAGCTACAATCTCTAGTACATTGTTAAGTACATTATAATATTTACCAATTTCATTTATTTATCTGCTATATGTCAGGCTAAGTGTTCTCCCAAGGTAGTTTTCCAGCTGTATAAACAATGCTAAATCACAGTAAATATTATTGAAATACTTTCACAGAGCCAGAGGCATCCCTGGGGGGGGCGGGGGGGGGGGGGGATCAATAGTATAAAAATGATAGGAATGACCAAATGATCAAAGGGCTAGCCTCCCCATTTTTAAAAACAGGCATCATATTCATAAAAAGGAGCCAGGTTTTTTATTTATTGGCTAGGTTGCCATTTTGAAGCTGTTCACACACGAGTACACAGACACTACATTGTGGAGTTTAAAGGATAGTTATGACAATGAAGATTCCATCTGGAGCTTTTGAGATGCCTTTTCTCTCTTCATCTTCCTGAAGGAGTCATTATCATATAAATTTCTGTTGGGTTTTATATGCATAAAAATTCAGGCCTTGCTGTTTTGGGGGGCGTGGGGGGCATGTTTCAAATATACTACAAAATAAAAAGAAGAAAAGTCGGCTACCTCATCGCATGTTATTAACTGACTACCTGGAGCTTTTAAACCTTAATCCTATGCAATATTGTAATGCACTCTGTTCAAGTAAGTTAAGTACATAATAGTATGAGTAATTAAAACATTAAACTTAATTAACCTTAATTTTTAAAGGCCATTTTAGTAACTCAAGAAGATATCAAACAAGCTACACACAAAAAAATGCAGGAGGAAAGCTATTCTTTGCTGCTGTCCCATGCTGTTAAATAATTGTGTATTTATGGCACGTTACTATATAAAATTGATACAAAAATATATGGTAAATTTCACCATTTTCACAGTGTGGGTAATTATTAATCATAGCACCTCAGCAATTTCGCTCTTATGTTTTGGGAAGAAAAATGGAAAACATTAGTATGATGGATTAATCACCATCCTTCTACTTTCATTATGTAGAAATTAGGAAACATTATCCCATTTTAAAAACGTTCCCACTATTCAGCAAAGCAAAAATCATATTGCAAGCCTTCCGTTCCCTTCTGCTCTCCATGTCTGATTGGCCAGGGTCCAGGTGTTAGGGAAGCATCATTAACAGAATAATAAAAGAATAACAGAGTTGGAAGGGACTTTGGAGATCTTATAGTCCAGCCCCCTGCTCCGCAGGAAGCCCTACACCATTTCAGACAAATGGTTGTCCAATCTCTTTTTAAAAAGTTCCACTGTTGGAGCACCCATAACTTTTGAAGGCAAGCCATTCCACTGATTAATTGTTCTAATTGTCAGGAAATTTATCCTTATTTCTAGGTTGCTTTTCTCCTTAATTAGTTTCCACCCATTGGTTCTTGTCCTGCCCTTGGGTGCTTTGACTCCCTCTTCTTTGTGGCAGCCCCTGAGATATTGGAAGACTGCTATCCTGTCAGCCCTAGTCCTTCTTTTCATAAGACTAGACATACCCAGTTCCAGCAACCGTTCTTTTATGTTTTAGCCTCCGGTTCCCTAATCATCTTTGTTGCTCTTCTCTGCACTCTTTCTAGAGTCTCCACATCGTTTTGACATCGTGGTGACCAAAACTGGATGCAGTATTCCAAGTGTGGCCTTACCAAAGCATTATAAAGTGGTGTTAACACTTCATGTGATCTTGATTCTGTCCCTGTTTATTCAGCCTGGAACTGTGTTGGCTTTTTTTGGCAGCTGCAGCACTCTGCTGGCTCATATTTAAAGCTGTCCACTAGGACTCCAAGATCCCTCTCAGTTGCTACTATTGAGTGAGATACCACCTACACTGTACCTGTTTTTCTTGCCTAAATGTAGAACCTTATTTTTTTCACCATTTCATTTCATTTTGTTAGATAGTGCCCAATGTTCAAATCTGTCAAGATCTTTCTGTATCACAAGCTTATCTTCTGGATTGTTGACTATTCCTGCCAGCTTGGTGTAGTCTGCAAATTTGAGGAGTTCCCCATCTATCCCCTTGTCCAAACCATTGATGAAGATTTGGTGGGATACCAACCGTGTGATTCACATGACAACCATGGCAAAAATAAGGTTGTAAAATTGAGCACAACTCAAAGCACAGCTGCCGTGCTTTGCAACCAAAATTCTGGCCCCAATTGTGGTCGTATGTTGAGAACTATCTTCTTATACCACTGATTATAACCCATTTGCTTGCTAAAAGCATAAATTGAGCTTTGCCAGATAAGCTATTAACATCCAGTTTCTCAACTAGGCAAACAAGCTGCTCATAGAACCTTGTAAGTATTAATATGAAGATAAGAACTTATCTTCCACCAATATTTCCTACTGGTTTGGATTTCAAATCATATTAGAACAATATATGAGGGTGTCCAGCATGGAGCTCAGAAAGAAACTTTAGATTAAGTAGCAAGAGGCCCATTGCCTATATGGAAAACTCTTTCAAATTTACTACACGGGGAAACTGCTCAACTCATAAGCATATACTTTGTGTTTCCCCTCAGCTACCTTTTTGGGTGGATGCTGTCTCACATTATCAAAGCACAAGTGTTTGTTGGCCTACAATCAACACTAAAGGCAGGCTGTCCTCTAAACATTATAGTGAAATGGAGAGGCAGCAACCTTTACCTCAAACTCTCTGAAATATAATTGCTGAATCACAAACTATCATTGAAAAGATGTAGATGGTGGGATCTCTCTAGTCCCTCATGCTCATCACTGCACAATCCTGCTTGTATGGAGAAAAAGCTCAGAATATAAACCAATTTCATACAACAGATAAAACTAAATTAGAGGTGGTGCATGATGTCTCACAGCAAACAGCTAAATCAACTAATCCAATTGGTATATCAAGATGATTTCTTGAAAATACATCCCATATAGGTGTTTATAGCTATTCTCAATTATCCAGGTCATGGTTGTCCCAAAGGTGCTTGTCCAAAAGACAACTGAAGTTTCTTGGGTGGGTGGGGGTGTTCCTTGAAAATGTTTCACTTCTCATCCAAGCTTCTTGGATGGGAAGCAAAATGTTTTCTAGGAAAAAACAAAACAAAGACCAATTGCCTTTTGGAAAAGCACCTTTGCGACAACCATGACCTGGATAATTGAGAATCACTATAGGCCCTTTTTAATTTTATCCAGATGCTTGTTAAAATGAGATTATTCTCATTTAGAGAATTAGGTCAATTACAAGGTCTCTATAGGAGTGAATTGGGTATTTGCTGAGAAAATGTGGGCAAATAATCAAGGCACATCAAAAATTTGTTGCAGGACTTATGTTAGGATTACAAGAGGACACGAATACAAAATTTAAGAGTAATGCCACAAGGACCAGGTAGAATTTAGGAACTGGATGTAATGCAAGATGATATACCTCATGCTATAGGACAGAGGTCTCCAAACTTGGCAACTTAAGACTTGTGGATTTCAACTTCCAGAATTCTCCAGCCAGCTGTTTGCCAACTTTGGGGACCCCTCCTATAGGAGATCCTTCCAATGGACTTGCTTGCAGTTCTGGCACTACCATAAATTAGCAAACAAGCAGTTATGTATCTTTGCTCCATTGTTTTGTTTACGATGATAAAGAAGTAAAACACTGCACCATTCATTCCAAACAACACTAAAAAATACCAAACCTAGCTTGAACAGCTCCAGCGTGACGAAGCAAGTCTGCTAGCATCTTCACAGGCACCAAAGTCTGCCAGTAAAGACTTCAGCAAAGTTTGCCATCTTTATTTAGGTATTGCTCTAAATGGAGCCACATGGTGTGGTATTTCCAAAAGAATGCCCGCTGGACCACCAGCCTCCCTGCATTCTCTAATACCCCAGTGATCTCATGGGAGGAGTGTTGAATTTCTTTCAAAGTATAGGCCCCAATGTCAAAATTGTGTGTAAACAAATCCAAATCAAAGGCGATATACCCAATGAGATCCATCAAAATAAATTGAAAAAATGAGTGTCTTTGAGAACTGCACGCGACTGAAATGAACACGAAGGAAGAATTATACTGGTCTATTGGTCAACAATGAAGCATCTGAGGTTTGCTGCGCAGAGAAATGGTAAAAAGGAATGCTATCTGCCTCCATGAATTTTCAATGAGTCATTTTTAAACAATTAAAAGGCCAAAAAAACCAGAAATCCCAAGTCAAAAGGAAAAAAAATAGTGTTTTATTAACTACCACACTGTTATAATACACTTTAGACGTACAATAAGGTAGCCTTTAAATTTGAGGTGGTTTGAACAAATGAACAGATTTTCCAAATGTTTGTAAATAGTGAACTGTTGCAATTATTGTACTTTTTTTTTTGTAAAACGGTAGAGCACTTACAGACTTGGCTATGCAAATTAAGAGTGTACATATTTTATAGTTGAAAATATAAACAGTAATTAAAAAATAAAAAAATCAGCTTAATAAAAAACATATATGTTTATCAGTTAAATGTACTGGATACATACAATTTAAGGGAAGCATAAAGGAAAGATGTGGATATTTAAATGCAGCTCAACTAACCAAAGCTTGGCAGAAAAAAGCGTTGTAAAACCCTTATTCCACTATCACTAATATTAATATGGACTATTGTCCCTATGGAAATGATTTTCTATTATTTGCATTTGTATATGTGTGTCTGTGTCTGAGTGCTTATGTGTGTGTCTTTTTTTTTTTTACTGAAAATTTACATGATGGCTTTTAAGGCCCTGGCAGACAGATGTATTTGGAGACAAAGTTAGATAAAAATTGCAATTGACATGGATACCCTTAATTTTTGGTCCTCCAATATTCAAGAAAAGGGTATCTTTATTTTTGTTTCATCACCCAAAATGCAGCAACTTATTTTTATTTAAGCCTTGAATAATTTTAAACATCAGTTATATTGCCCAAATTAGTTACTTAAAGAATATTATTAACAAGACATTATTTTGGCAAAATTAAACTTTAAACATGGCTTTTCAACAGGATTTAAAAGGTGACTATCCCTAGAGCTCCATGTTAAAATGTAATTTTCAAAATCTTACAAGAGTAATGCTTAAAATATTGTACATAGTTAACCTAATTAAAATAATTAGCTTCAAAATGACAACTTGATGAGCTAAGTAAAGCCTATACAATGAAACATTTGCTTGGAAACTTGATTTGTCAGTTATGCATAATAAAAATTCCAGTCAAGAAAATTACAAAATTTCTTTTATCATAACATGATTTCTTTTCACCAATCAACTTTTATCTTACAATAGATAAATACCAACATGTTCTCATTTTTACACTAAACCACAAAGGATTGATGCATTTGATTAGACTACCATTTCCATTGTTAAATTTCTTTTTATACAAGTTGGTAAAATTTAATCTCTTCTAGATTCCAAAAGTACCTACAAAACTCATGCAATTTTACCATTTTAATATACTATGGAATATCATACAAAGTAAGGCATTTCAGTGTCATGTATAACCAAGTTACTGTCAATCCAAAAATTTTTGCACATCAATAAAAAGATATCTAAGAACTTAGGAACAATATTCTTCTCACTACTGTATAAAAATAACCACAATTAATAGGTATTTTGTGTATATTTATTCCATTGTCTCATTTCCGGAAACGGTAACAAGCTGTAAAGGTATTTCAGCATTGGTAAGAATATCTTGATTGCTGGTGCCAGATGTATTAACAGTTCCTATCCCTGAAACAGAACCTTGTTGAATATTAGCAAGGATAAGCGTTGTTCCGCCTGCAGTAATCAAAGTATCCTCTGGTGTTGCTTCGACCGATGCAAGCACTGTACTGCTAGCATGAATAGCTTTTTTATTCTGATGGGTTTTGATGTGTTTGGCAAGATGATCACTTCTCATGAAGCGCTTGGAACATTCTGGACAGACGAATTTCTTTTCACCTGGTCAACATATAAAAAAAGTTTTTTCTTTCACACCAACGCAAACCTTAACACGGATGAAATTTGAAACTCTTGACAACTCTTCCTTTTCTTTCAACAGAAAAGCACATATGATTTATAAGCACTGCTATAGATGTTTAGAAATCAATAGCGAGGTTACATGAGGCTTTTAATGACCAACTGCTGCTTTAATTTCCCACCCCATATGCCAAAAGAAATAAGTTTTTTTTTAAAAAAAAGATTTGGTCACCTGTATGTGTTCTCCTGTGTCGCTGTAGCTCATCACTACGCGTAAATCTTTTTCCGCAAAACATCCACGTACAAATAAATGGACGCTCTCCAGAATGCCAACGAAGATGAGCTCTCAAATGTGATGTTTTTCCATAGACTTTCCCACATCCTGGTATGTGACAGATGTGTTGTTTCTTCTTTCCCAAATTGGTGCCCCTGTTAAAACATGCAACGAAACAAACATTACTCAAAACACTGACATCATCAAAACATGTTGCATATTACACTGAACTGTAAGAAAATGCATTCATGTACCTCGGCATAGATGTACAGTGAACAAGGGCATTAACTAGCTCAGGAGCAGCATGAGCTGTCACCGCAAAATCTAATGCCACATCCTTCAATCTGTCACTTCCCCATTGGCACCGAAAGAGCAAGATGCACAGCTTTCCCACAGATACAGGTGCTCAATTTAATGATCACTCTCAGTTTTGCCTCATTTATTTTAAAGATTTTATTTGCTAGAAAATGAGACAAGGAATGCATACCTTCCACCACCTTCTTTACAATTGGGGCAAGTGCAAGCTACCCTTCGCAATCTTTTTCCTTCTTGGTGCGGCTGGTCCCCTTCCTCATCCACCACCTGCACCCGCAAATGTGTCAGGTCATTGGTATTCAGTGTAGAATCACCACCAAGTTGCCATTCTTCTGGATCAGGCTCCTCTTCTTTAATCCTAATATCTAAAGGGAGGGGAAGGAAGAGAGATCAAGATTACAGATCAAGTCAGTCCCATTACACAGAAAGCAGAAATAGCAATAGCACGTAGACTTATATACCACCTCACAGTGCTTTACAGCCCTCTCTAAGCGGTTTACAGTATCAGCCTATTGCCCCCAACAATCTGGGTCCTCATTTTATCCACCTCGGAAGGATGGAAGGCTGAGTCAACCTTGAGCTGGTGAGAATCAAACTTCTGATAGTGGGCAGAGTCAGCCTGCAATACTTCATTCTAACCACTGCACCACCATGGCTCTTGAAAACTGTAAATGTCTTCAGCTTTGCAACGTTATCTGTTTATCCTATCTTATCAATCAATCCATTCCAATCTCAGAATGCCAGACGACTATTTATGTACTTTTATTCATAGCTATAAGAACTGCATATCTCTACTGAAAAACCCACATCTAGCCTCAGGTGTCAAATCAACTAAGCATGCTATTAAAAACGTTACAAACAAAAGCAACCATTTTTTTAGCTGGAAAGCAAAAAAATAACCTTTATTTTTCAAAAAAGGGCTTCTCAATGAAATATGTAAAAGAATTCTATTGAAACTAGAGAGATTTTAAAAGATAAAAATGATGTTTCAAGAATGCTTTAAAAAAACAAAACCTATACCAAACCCTTACAAATTATTCTCTTGGGCTGGCAGCTTCATTGATGTATAGTTGTCTAAACAGCTCAAGCAGATGTTTGATATCAGGTAATGATAATGATAAACTGACACATTAAAAACACATCCAAAAATGGCAAAGATTGAGCAATTAAAACAAACAATTGAAAGTTGTGAACGAGTACAATAACAGTACATCTGCTGGAGAGTTTCTAAAGCTACATGTATAAGTGGGATAGCTGCATCAATGCTCAAGTCAACCTTCAAACCTGTTCAAAAACATATGCTTCCTGTCCTTGGATCCGCTCTATCTGGCTGCAACTGTTTAACTGCCCTTCCCTCCGCATCTTCAAGAGTTATATGAAAGCTCAGCATGATGCTTTGCCAGTCCTGATGTTGTGTTGAGCATTAACCTCTTCCATTTACTCTGAATGGGAAGCCTTAAGAAGCCTATATATGGAAGCAACATTCTTCCCAGACAGAGCAAAGCCAGGCCAAGGAAAGATTACATTCCAGTATGCCAAAGGAAGAAGAAAAAAAATCCTTAAATGCCAAGGGCAAGCTTTCAAGAGAAACAGAGCCAATATCAATTAAATACAAAGGTTTTTTTTTTAAAAAAAAATCTTTCTAGGTATTCACCTACATTTCATTTGTAGTGCTGTTTTAGCATTCAAACCACTATGATTAGCCTATTTTTTGTCTAATAATATCCATCTGTATATTCTTCAGTGGTATAAAGGATATTTAATACACTTAATTTACTCTAACATTTAATAGCCTTCAGTTGCTGTAATACAACTTATGTATCTATGAAGAACTTCTGTTGAAGAAGGTTAATGTTATAAATCTGTAAAATGTTGCAAGAATAACCTGTAAAAACAAAAAAGATAACCTAATTGCCATATTTGTTTAAGTAACACAAGTTAAATTATAGTGCTTGCTGGACAAATTTCATATTCAATACAAACGAGAATCAAACATATTTCAAGAAGATATTTAGCGTGAAGGCACTTGCACACACACACGCGCGTGCGCGCACACATACACACACACAGAGACTGAGATTTTCCCACAGAACATATTATATAATTTGTCATTGGTATTAAAGTTTGACGTTGAGGAAGATATATAATCAAATAATATAATATTGATCCATTTATGAGTGAGATCATCTGTCAAATGGATTGAGGTATCATCAATACGCTGATGATACTCAACTTTATATCTCCATCCCTTGGTGACCCCAGTTATGCTGTCGCTATCTCTCATAGGTCTTGGAGACTTGTAGGCGCCTGGATGCAGGACTATGATGACCTTAACAAGGCTGAGTGGCTTTCTGTACATGGAGTTTCAAGATCTGGGTCTTTGACATCTTTTGTTCTAGATGGGGTTGCACTGTCCGGCCCAGTTAGCAACTTAGGGGTTCTCCTGGACCCATGTCTTCTGCTCAAAGAGCAGGTGGCAGGTGTGGCTAGGAGAGCCTTTGCACAACTTTGGTTTCTGCACCACTCCCTGTGCTCAGTCACTACAGCCCTACTGGATTAACTGCACTGCACAACTAGAGCAGAGTGTGGCAGCATGAGCAGTCTTTGGAGCCCCTTAAATGGCCCATGTTACAACGCTGCTTCACAAGCTGCATTGGCTGCCAGTTTGGTCTTTACTCAGAAGCAAGTACTACTCTCTTCAACAGAATTTATTCCCAGCTAAGGGGGCATACAACGGTTATCTTGAATATTGGTACAGATCCATTTGGTTTCAATTTGCCCCAAATATTACTTTTCAAAAGTAAAACCAAAGAACTATTTATGCTTTCACATGTGTGCAAAAGAATGCTAACAATTCTCTGTTCCTACCACAGTAGCATGTAATATGTTCAAGAATTGTGATCTCATGAAAATCCAGAACAACTGAGATGTTGAGGCTAGCCCAACAAAGCAACACCTGAGAAACAATTACTTTAGCATCTTGATTCACAAGACAAGTTGTTCCATAAGCACACCCTCCCCCAAAATGTTAAAATATAAATATTTTTTAGTTTTGAATAATTCTGAAAAATAAATTTCTTACTGAAATATATGTTTGGGAACATTTGGCTAATTCAGATATATCTTCAAGTGTTCCTCTATAAAAGTACTATAATTTCAACTAGCAAGAAACATACATGGATCTCCCACAAATTTGAGTCCTTTCCTAGATTATTTCACTAGTAAATGTTGACTCATTAAAATTGAATGCATTTAAAAGAAAATGACTGAATATATAAATACATTTTCATTACAACTAAAAATGTATTTATCATCAGAAGAGAAAAATGGATCTAAAATGTAACAATTATTCAAAGTCATGTTTGTTAAAGGACTATTTCAGGTAAAAATTCATTTTGTCTCCTCAGCTGTCAGACATGATTGATAAAATTTTGGAGGATGAAGACAACTTATTCAAACAGTGAGAATTCCATTAAAATTCAGCCTGCATGAAAAAGTTACATTACAAATGATAAGTCATATGTCAATATAAGAAACATTTACAAATTAATAATTACTGGCTACCATTCCAAATACTGTATGAATTCTTGGCTTTCTTGGCTTTTAATTTCTCCTAGAATTTTAAAAGCTCAATTATTTTTTTAATGATAGTATGCAAATATGTCAGCAGCTACCAATACTGATTAAAAATATCCCCTGTACCAGGTAATGTATTTTTCATCTTCTCTCCCCCTGTAAGTCCTAAATCTGTTGCAGATAAGCTACCAGCATTCTAGAACAGATCTGGACATAGAAGGGCTACCAGGGAGAAGGGGGACATATCTGTTCCTTTAGCAATGACCTAACTGGATATCACGCAGAATTTTTTAGGTAGGTGTAAAATGTTCAAGGAATGGCAGTTTACTACAAGTAAAAAAACCATAATATTTTAAGTTTTTTCTTCTGTTCAATCATGTCCAAATTTCAGAAACTGCCTGGACAAGTCCCTACAGTTTTCTTGGCAAGATTTTTCAGAAGCAGTTTGTCACTGCCTTCTTCCTAGGGCTGAGAGAAACTGACTAGCCCAAGGTCATCCAGCTGGCTTTGTGCAAAAGGTAGGAGTACAACTCAGTCTTCCTGGTTTCTAGCCTTAGCTAATACATCAAACTGCTTCTCTGGTATGGTTAGAAAACCTAGATAATTCAGTTATTTAAAAAGAGTGGTTTTGAAAGCTTTTTAGTCAATAATCTTATTTCTAGACCACACATTCTTCAGTTTCAGGATTCCAAATAAGGCCCATAGGACTAAAAAGTGGATAATCTGCATTACTTCCCCCCCAAAAATGCATATTGACAGAAATCACATTCTTATCTCCTGCCCCCTGGACTCCTATCGTATAATGATTTATTTGCATCAGTATCAATCATAAGTCAAGCAACTAAAAATGTATTAAGGAAACATGGCCAAAGATAGTAACATCCTTCTTCATGCAATCTTCTCAGAAAAGAAAAAAACATCCTTATATGCATTCCTATGGGAAAATGTTTAATCTTATTTTATGATGGATTTCACAGCTCTCATTTCCCTGTTCCCCGAAGCACTTTCATATTTGTGTTTATTGCTTCCTTAGGAAGTAAACTGGCCTACAGCCGATTCACTGCATTTGGTTATAGCCTATACAATAGTTGCCATTGAAACTTATATTGCAACTTCTATGTATAGGTGCTGCTTTAAGATCTGGCGTAAGTATCCTGCAAGACTACCAAGCTAGGACATAGCATCCTCTTTTCCAAAGTGCTCTCTACAATTCACCAATATATCCTCTTTCCCAGGGTCAAGTGTGCACACACATAGTCAGTCCATAATAAAAGCATGTGGCATGTAAACCTCCAGATAAAAAAAGATTATTCCGTCTTAAAAGGTAATACAGCAGAATCAGATAGTGGTCCACCATCTTGTTTGTGACAGAAGCCAATAATGTATCTCAAAAAGAGGTTATGAGCGCAACAGTCCGCTTCCACTTTTATTTTGCATGATGTATTTCCAGAATCCTAGGGATATACAATATATAACCACCGTAACTAGCAGTCAATGATGCCTTCATTGACAAAAATTAAATTAAATTAAAAAGTTATCTGCTGTCAAAACAAACAGCACAATTCTAGTATCTATTACACGTAACAATTATTATTGCCTGCCCAAGTTGTCCACCACAGAGCTTCATCTCATGACACTAGTTTGTATTATTGGGAGATGGGGAAAAAAAATCTATCCACTTTCTTCGCACCTCACAGTGCATAAAAAAATTATTCATATTCCCCTTTCTTTTTTTTTCATAAAATAATTACCAAGCCCACCTACCAGAGTACTGTTTTTGAAACCCCTCGCCTTCAAAATAAATTTGTCAAGCGGTTTCATAAAATGAAGTTAACAGAAAAACACACCTGGACTTTCTGTTTCAGAACCAATTGTAGTGTTTCAGTTCTAAAATCAATTTATGTTGTTAACCACTGGCTTTTGCTTTAAGCTTACAAAAAATGAGATGAGCTAATGGAGTATGAATGTCCAAATCTAGTATCAAAAATCGTTTAGAATCCAAAATTTGGAAAATATAAATTTAAAAACATCAACTCGACAAATCACAAATTAATTTAACCAAGAACAAGCATCAGAATTTTAGTCTGCATGAAGAGAAAGTTCTGTATGCTTCAATAATTATGATTACTTTTACCATAATTCAAAGCATTAGTTTTACCATACCTGCAGGACTGTCAGCATTTTCTCCGGGATGCAGTTGAATACCTCCAGAGTCTATGGAATTTATGGTAACTGTTTGTAGGTTTGGCAACTGAGCAGTACTTAGACTAACCGGAGTCGAAGTCAAGGCCCCACCTGCTGCAACTTGACCAAGAGTGAGAGTCTGCACAGGTGTCAATGTTATTTGTTGGCCAGGAGCATTTTGAAGCTGCAAGTTCTGCAAGTTCTGTACTCCTTGGACTTGAAATGTTTGCCAAGTTATTTGCCCAGATGGGGTCACTGTCTGTGCCTGGATTAAAAAAGTCCCAGGGTTCAACTGAAGCTGAAGATTCTGCAAAGCCTGTTGTGATATACTTTGGCTGGCTTGCACACCATGGATTGTCTGTTGCGCTATACCTTGTACAATCTGAGCCTGACTCGTCGTTTGTTGAGATTCTTGAAGCTGTATATGTTGTACAATAGGCTGTGCTGTTGAGACCTGAATATTTTGGGCCTGTGTCTCCTCCGAGACAGATGTTTGGATGTAATTTCCCTGAAGATCTGAACTGTGGACCTGCCCACTAGTGGAGGGCAAACTATTTGAATTTTGTTCTAATATACTAGTATTGTCTATGGTTACAGGCAGTTGTTGTGAGGATGACGACGTTGGCACAAATAAGTCTGTATCGGTGGTTGTTTCCGTCATTTCAGGAGAAACCTGTTCTGCAGTCCTGTCAGAAGTGTCCGAACTATCCATTGCCTGTGCAGTGCTTATCAAGTGTCCATCGGCATTAATGCCTGCAGTCATGGTTTGAGAACCACTTAGTCCCAGAGAATCTAGATCAACGCTATTGATGGGAACAAATGCAATGTTTCCTGGCAGTCCAAGAGGAACATTAGCAACTACCTGTGCTTGCCCAGGAAAAGATGAACCACCAATTGTCACCCCTTGGACTTGGCCAGTCTGTGATAAAATATTCTGAATGTTACTAGAGGATGTTCCAGAGGCAATAATGGTTTGATTGGAGGCAGGAATGATCTGAATTTGACCAGTTTCTTGATTCACACTACCATTATCAGAAGAGGCTGCAAAACCAAGCTGAACCTGCTGACCATCAGCTGTCTGTATCTGGGGTATTACTTGATATTGAACATTGGACACAGTACCATTTGATGAATCTGAACCAGGTGCCACAGAAAATATCTGCTGATTCTGCAGACTTTGAAGAGGAAGAACGTACTGTCCACTTGAAGTTACTGTGGCAGCCCCTGGGATCTGTACTATATTGCCGGCTTCATCTTTAATAGTTGTAGGTGTGGCAGACAATACCTCCCATCTATTTGGTGTTCCTGCTAACTGTACAGAGGTCAAATCTCCTGTCTAAACAAAAACAAAAACAAAAACCAAATTAAAATGTCTGTGTAAATGACAGATGAGCAATACATTACTTGTATGTACATAGTAAGCCAAATAGCTCAATCTTAGTTCCATATAAAGTTCATTTTTAAAAAAAAAAATCAGCTGTTCTCCACACAAAGAAACCTTTTTTCCATTGTTGCTTTAACCACTTTACAATTATTAATTCCTTACATTAATAGACTCGGAACTGTTAATTGTAGAATAGCACCTATAACAAGCAAGTAGCAACTTATGCAATTTTATTTATTTATCTTGCTTTTTGATTAACTCCTTTTACAGAGTTTGTTTAAACAGTGGGTTCTTGAAAAGGAACTATTTCAGAAATTGTGCATTTATGTACATATATTTGAATAACTGAAGAACAAGAAATAGATTTTGACTTGTTATGCCAGGATGCAAACAAGTTAATCCTATCAATTTAGCCTCTTCGTTTTTACACGTGTCAGTAAACATAATTAGAAAGACGTCTATTATATACTAATTCCTACTTTAGATAAACTAGAAAACCATAATTAACAACTCTGAAACATTAAAACATAGTTGAGGGTAGTTTGATAATCGTCGGATTCTGAAGTTGTTAATCATAATTTCTCAATTAAAATAAAAGGGAAATTTATCATTAGCAAGATACATCCTATTTGTTTTAACAACTTGCCCCAAAGTGGAGGCCAAAATTTATTCATCTCTTAGTTTAACAAGTTGTGACTGCTTACACTAAGAAACTGGGGAGGTCTTTTCTCTGACACTACCTTTGATTTGAACAGTTTGACCTCATCAAGTAATTCCGTACAACATGAGTGTATTAGGTTACTGCCTTTCCCAAAGTATCTTAGCCACATCTCTGGTGTGTTGGATGTCCCTCTTTACAAAACCCTTTCAATTCCAACTTTATGCATGCATACGGGTAGTCCTTGACTTGCCACAGTAGTAACCTTTCAAAGTTACAACAGCACTTACAAAAGTGACTTATGACTATTTTTCAGTTACAACTTTGTAGCATCCCCATAATCACATGGTCAAAATTCAGACCCTTGGCAACTGGTTCATGTTTATGACCGCTGAAGTGTCCCAAGGTCATGTGATCACCTTTTGCAACCTTTTGACAAGCAAAGTCAATGGGGAAGCCAGATTTACTTAACCGAGTTACTAACTTATCAATTGCAGTAATTCACTTAACAACTGTGGCAAGAAAGGTTGTAAAATGGGGCAAAACTCACTTAATAAATGTCTCACTTAACAACAGAAATTTTGGGCACAATTGTGGTGGTAAGCTGAAGACTACCTGTATTGCACTTACACGTATAGCTCCTTAGCAAAAATTTATTTTAAGCGATTAAATGCTGACCTTTACATTAATTTCACATTTTGAAAGCATCAATATTTCTAAGTCAGAGGAATAATGAAAGAAGGTGTACATGGTTATTAAAAATGATAAGTGATTTGTTTGGGAGGTTAAGAAATATATGATTCAGGATCCTACAGGAGAATCACAGCTATGCTGATAGATATAATAGATCAGGGGTCTTCACACTAGACAGCTTTAAGACTTGTGGACTTCAACTCCCAGAATTCATCCTCGAGTCATGTTAGCTCAGGAATTCTGGGAATTGAAGTCCACAAGTCTTAAACTTGCCAAGTTTGAAGACCTTTGTAATAGATACTTATATTTTAAGCTAAAATTACATTGCATAAATAGCAGCAAGAAGTATTTTCCACCCATGCCCATGGCACTGTTAGCCTGAATTAGGGCACAGAAAATCAAGGTATTTCAGTTTATTACTCTCAACTGTAGAGCTGACATCATTTTAGCTTCCTTCTCCTTCAAACACAGCTCTATAAATTAATGAAATTTGAGATAATATTACCGCACAGCCTAATTTTTTTGATGTTCAAAAAATTCACAAGGAAGAAATATGAACAAATCTAATACAATAATATCTTTGGTTCTTTTTAAATACTAGCTGTTGCATTTATAAGAATGCAAGGTGGGTATAAAAGATGCAGCCACTATAATTTAGCTATTAAAAATGTTTGGGAGAAAATTTGAAAATAGAAAAGAGTTGAGCTCTTTTCTATTTCATCTTCCTTACAGTTTACACTATTAATCATTCCCCACTTAAGTAACTCTCCAAAAAGATTATCTGTGCCCAACCTTAGAAATAACACATGATTTCTAGTCTTGGCCTTACATGTGTCTATTTCTTCTGAACTACAATGTGCTTATATTTTTCCTTTACATGAATTTTCCTGCATGGTTATTTTTAAAATATTTGATGTACAAAGCCAAAGAAGCATAAGGAACAACAGAGCTTCTCTCTTTCTCTCTCACGCTCTCGGCACAGTTTCAAAAACTGAAATGACAGTATTCCTTTCCTTTAAAGTCCTGAAAGACATCTCCTTGTAACACAAGGCTTTCCTCTTACATGTGGCAACCAGGAGCAGAGTTGTACAGCTCTATGATTTCTATTCAGTCAGATTCTATTAAGATACACATCTTCCAAGAATCTTATGATCTTCTAACTGAAAATGTTTTTAACTACTTCCAACTTTTCTGGAATGCTAAAGTTGCACATCTTTAGCTATTTTTCCCCAGGGGTTTCCTGAGACTTCAGATTTCACATTTCAGAGTGTGAAAAAGGTATTTAAAAAAAAACACATAGTAAAAAATGTAGCAAAAACCACCCCAACCATACATTTCTCATTATGTTCATGCAATAAAAAACAATAGAAAGAACTCTTTTAAGTGTGAGATACAAATTCATATTGGTTCCAAAATATTGCTGGCAAGAATAGACCTTCTTAATTTTTTATTTTATGCAATCCATTCCATCATCTTTCAAAGTGTTTGAGGAGCATGTAATATGCTAGGAGTTATCAGTGTGGCACTTGTGCACAGCATCACATAGATCAGGGTGTCAAACTCGATTTCATTGAGGGCCGCACCAGGGTTGTTTGACTTCAGGGGACCGGGGTGAACATGGCCTGGATGGGTGTGGCGAGCTTGAGGTCACTGGTGTTTGGGCGGGGGGGGGGGGTTGCCAGTGGTGACCTGAGCTCTCTGCCAGTGAAAATGGGTTCCCAAGCTCAGTTTTTGTCTGTGACAGCCTCCTGCAACCCTCTGCCAGTGAAAATGGAAAAGGCATCACAGGCCAGTCCTTTACTGTTTCCAGGACGGCCTCGCGGGTCAGATCCAACCACCCTGCAGGCCGGATCTGCACCCCCCCCCCCCCCGGACTTGAGTTTGACACCCCTGACATAGATGATCCCCACAGAGAGGACCCAAGAAATTCCAACTTTAAACAAAAAATAATTTAAATTTATTACATATGGGCACTCCATCTCAATTTTTGTTGGCATTTTCCCTCGATTTGGATATCTTGCAGAAATGTGAATAAATCGTATGTGTAACCTTGATTATTTCAAGTTGGTAATTACTGATGTACTGTATGGTCAATTCAAATTTTGTGGTCAAGAGAAAATACGTTTACAAAATATTTGGTTATTAAATTTTAGCCACCCATCTCTCCTATTATATTACTCTGGGCAGCAAAGTAAATAAAAAGGAGGGAAATATGTCACAGTCTAATAAATGGAATTATGCATTTTGACACATCATATAATAGATAACTAAGGAAATAAAGGAAATGTATATTTGCCTTTAATAATACATTCACAGAAATGGAAAGGAAACTAAAACTGTATTTATATGTTAATAGTATCAGCACACATAGATCTGAATCCAGATTTCACATTCTATAACACATTCTATTTCTAGGTCAGTGGGATCTGTCCTGCCGAAGAAAGCAGGTACCCTTTGCCAGTTTCTTCCCTGTGCAGCTGCTTGAGTTTTCTAAAATGTGTTTCATATATAAGTGTACAATTAAAACACCCTAACTTTTTTCAGCTATTGATCTAAAGTAGCATCATGACTTAACTTTTTCATTCCTTTCTCAAAATGGCAGAGCTCCTTATTGCCAGCAAGTAACTAGTATTTTAAGCCACTCAGTCAAAGAACACCTTAGCAATTTATGATGCTTGTTTTGTCCAATAAAATGCCATAATTCTGAAACTTGATATTTTCCTAGGGTTTTTTTTATATAGCCTATTGTTTTTACTATTAGAGGTGGTAATGGATGTACAAATCTGCAATATTGTTGATATGTAAAAGAGAGGAATCTGTATGCATATGGCAAAAGTATATCCTTCCTTTTATTTGTCATTAACTTCATTTTCAGGAGGTCCTTATATCCATTCAGTGTACCTCCCCTAATTCAGAAATCATCCCAATCACATTTATATGGATTCTATCTTACCATCACCAATGTCCAGAGCAGCATAGCTAGAAGGATAAAGGAAGTTCCTTTCACTATAGTGATCTTGATTCAGTAGACCTGGTATAGGTTCTCCTTCACTATTAGCAGCAGGAAACCAAGAAAGCTGCCACATATAAGGTCTCTACCGCAACTTTCCAATCAGTGGGCTACCAGGAGTATACTCACGCACTGAGTAGCTCACCCAAAGAGATTATGTGTTGAGGATTGCAGAGTGGAGGTCAGCAACCAGAATAACTTGTGAGGGTTTAAAACCAATGTTAATTTTAAATAGCCATCCAAGATCCATCTTCCCAGAACATCCCTTTCTTGAGAGGGTTATTTTTAAAGTAAGCCCTAAAAGGCTGAAAATTATAGCTTTCATTTTTTAATGACAACATTGCTGTTTCCTTCATAGCTCCCCAAGGCCACTGGTTTTTTTTTTTTTTTTTGCAATATCTTCACTCTACCCTATCTCACACAATACTTCTTTTCTAAATTATCATGAACGAGGGAATGAGTCTTGAGTTCACAGAAATTGGAGGAAAAATTATTCCATTTTTTACTTAGTTAACTATTACCTATGCAATCAAAGAATTGTAATTAACTCTAGTTCTTGTTCAACCAATCAATATCAAAATGCACTTTGATATATTCAGAACTGCACCAGTACAAATTTCATTTGCTTAAATTAGCTGCTATGTAAGGAAGAAATATTCATTTGTGTACAACTTACATTGTCCAGAAGAAAAAGGCAAAAATAGGCGAAGATGCTTTTTGTGATTATTTTACAGAGATATTATTAACATAAGGTAATGTATTAAACAAATTGATTCTATGCTACATTGAACAATCTTACATGAACTCTTTGTCTCTGAGAATGATCAAGTTATCAGAAGCTACTTGAAACCAAAAGCTTTAGCTATATTTAAGCATAAGAAAAGTATAAACTTCTTAATTGTAACATCAGAACCTAAATCAGTTGCTTAACTTATACAAGATGCCACTAGTCATTATTTTGATAGTCATTTATTTTGGGGTATGTTTATATCAGATTCATGATTCCATAGTAAAGATTTAAGCAATCAGTCTTGAATGACCCAGTATGTCTTTGTAAGAACACATACTTAAAATTGCTATATATTGCCACTATGTAATTGGGACAAGTGCACACAATTAAAATGTATGATAAATATCATTAGATTTAACTCCCAAACTAAATGTATTCAATTAGAAGCAAACCCCATCAAGTTCAAATGAACTTTGCTTTCTTATTAAGCAATTCTAAATCATAATGCAAGAAGACTTTAAATGCATTGATTATGGCATGTAAGTCATATACTGTACTTCCCTTACTGATAACATTAATCAGAAATCAAATTTCCATTTGTAGGGTGGGATGATTTAATCTACCCTATAGTATTCCTGGATCCAGCTCTGGATGATGCCTGAAGCATGCATAACTTCCTGTCCAACTTCAAAATGTAAAAAAAAAAGAGCAGAGGTGGAGAAAATGGCACAGATGAGGGGAAAAAATCAATACAGGAAGTAAACAATAGAATTAATTAAATAGATGAATTACTTATGACAGAAAGCTAGATTATAACACAACAAACAAATATGCACACATGTAAATCAACAAAAATAAAGGCAGCAAAAGTAGTTATAGGAAAATATTTAGAAACAGTTTGACTAAAAACTACAAGCAATTAATGCAAGAAGTGTGCTGTTATTTTTTCTAACACTTGTTAAAATTACACAAAGAAACACCTAAAGTGAGCTGCTGTAAATGTGTGTGCATTGTATTATATTAATTATATTGATACCACCCTTTTTATTAAATTCCCAAATGCCTTTCTATCAAAAATACCATGTACCACAGCTCCACATATGCTCCAGCCTGACTCAAATTATTTTTTAAAATAGAGATAAATAGAGATAACACCATTAAAATATACCAGCAAAACTGTCTGGAAACAATGAATTTAAATCACTAATTCAGCAGCGGACCAAGCATGTCCACAAAGGCCATTTGCATAGGGTATAAGGAGAACTCTCAGCAGATGTAGATGAGTAATCAGCACAGCTGTTTTAGAAAGGAAGACATATGCTTCTTATTTGTTTCCAGACACCTTGCAAAGGACACCTCATAGAATAAAAAGGTATTTAAAAAAAAATCAAGTCACCTTCAAATTGGTCTCAACTCTTACTGAGACGTACATGGTCACATTCACAATTTTTCCATGAGATATGGAAGTGATGTACCACTGCCTTTTCTGGGATGCTTATTTTAAACCCCTAGTCAGCCTGCAGCACTAGATTTCTCAGATGATCTCCCATTCACTAAGATGAATCCTGCTTAGCTTTCTAAATTACTGAAAGTTAACAACAGTCAAAGCAGGGTCTAAAGAAAGACATGTATCACTATGATCACCTACAAGGTCCCTCCCAACTCTGATTATCTGTTATCTGATCAGGTAACAACAGTTGCAAGATCAATCACAGTATAGTAATATTGGTTGCTGCTACTACCTGCCACTGAAAGCTAGGCACATGACTCCAGAGCTGAATCTAGGAACATGATCAGATTTCAAGCAGCACTGACCTGAAAACTTGTCCGCTGCAGACTGAATATTTGTTTCTCTAAATTTCTATTTTGGATACTCAGAGACAGTTTTAATTTTTTTAGTTTGATTTGCACATTACAGATAGTTCTCAATTAACATTCTGTCATTTGAATTTATGATCGACCTCCCCAGAGCTACTTATGACCAATTTCCAGAGTTACAATGACCGCACACATCCCTGCAGACATGTGACCACATTTTGGATTCTTGGCAACCAGCTTATCTTTATGGCCATTCACAGCATCCATGATCATGCAGCTATGATTTGTGACATTTTTTCTGTAAACGACCATGATCCTAGCTTCGAATCTGGTCACATGATGCCTCAAATTACAACTGCAATGACTTACCATCATGGGATTCACTTAACAACTGCCATAAAGTGGTTGTAAAATTATGTCTGATCTTATGGATGTCATGACTTACAACTGAAATTCTAGTCCCAGTTGTAGTCATAAGTCGAGTACCTGAACCTATCATTTACTGTCTATTGAGTTTTGAGCAAACTGAAGCTGGAAGAACAAACACTAATCACAATCAGTGGTGGGATTCAAATTTTTTTACTACTTGGTTCTGTGGGTGTGGCTTGGTGGGTGTGGCAGGGGAAGGATACTGTAAAATCTCCAGTCAGAGGTGGTATTTGCCGGATCTCTGAACTACCCAAAATTTCCGTTACCGGTTCTCCAGAACTGGCCAGAACCTGCTGAATACCACCTCTGATCACAACCATTATTTTATTTGAACCCATTTTTCCCATTACATATTTACATAAAACCAGAAATAAGTTGATAATAGTTTAAACTTGCCAATGGCAACCTTTTTTTCCTGATTTTTTTCATGTACCTCTTTGCAACTTTTGGTCCTGAATTCACATAATAAATTCCCAATTTTCTGCTTTAAAAATCATAACAAATTCTGTAGGCCAAGACCACATTTAGGTTGAAAAATTTCAATAATCATGTCAAAAAAACTCAATTCAGAGTCTTCAGCTGCCTAAAAGTCTGAGACCACGCTGTGTTATTTTTTTTTCACTATGTCACATTTAGAAGGACGTGTCTGAACATGTAAAACACCTGGCTTCATTCCAGGCTCTCACACTAGCTCACAAAGGCTGTGGAGAAGTGATAAACTTGGAAGCATATATTACTTTTCTATTGTGCTAAAGAGATAATACTTGTTTGCTACCTGAAGTTACTATGCTTAGTATGTTTTTAAGTTACAGCAAAGTTGATAACTTATAGTATAGTTACAGAAAAGTGTATAAACTAAGAATTAAATGACAACTGCATGGAAGTATAAGAGTCACAAACTGTCATGGGATCATACTTCCTAGGTATGTTTATTGAAAAGTCCCTACAAATGTCACAGTACTTGTACAGACTATACACAAGATTGCAAACTTTGAAAAAAAATACAATTAGTCCCCCACCCCTTTTAATATAAACCCTGAAACCTATGAAACATGAAGTTTAGAAAACTCAAAAATGGTGCAATTTTCATTCAGGATCAGGGTAGTGTTCACTACCATATTTCAACATTAAAAGCCAGCCCTTCTGCTTTTCTTGCACAGATAAATTCCTGAGACATGAACTAAACAAGCCATCCATCAAGAAGTTATTTCACCCATCGAATGTAATCCTTTCCTCATTCAAGTTGGCAAAACCATCAACTCCCCCCCCCCCACAAAAGCCTTTCAGATGTTCCTAATAATCTCAAGGGCTTAAAGCCCTCTCAAAGGAAACCCCCCTCCCCAAAGGACATAAAGAGAGGCCAAGCATTAAGGAGGGGAGGGGGGAGAAAAAAACAACTTCTGACTACTTTTATCTTCCACGATCTGCAATGCACACCCCGACCCAACCCAGAAACAGCCTTCAAAGCAGCTCTCTCGCTTCCGCTAGGGACTACTGACTCCTTTTTTTTTTTCCAAACAGCCATTTTACACGCTTAAAGTGCATCCTGTCTTTCAGCCCAGCCTTCATTTTGTCTGATTGTGGGGTTCCGGGGGGCACAGCTGACAGTCCAGGAAGGAGGAGGGAAAAGAGGGTTGTTCGGGTTTTTTTTTTCCAGGGACCAACTCCCCCCCCCCGTTTATCTCCGATTTGTTGGGGGGGGGAAACCCGCCGTCTTCCCGCCTCCCCACCCCCGTCGAGAAGCAGGGAAAAGGCGCCGCGGCGAAGAGGCGAGGGGGAAGTCCCAGCGCCGCCTCCCTCCTCCCTCAGGGAGACCGGCTCCTCCTGGAGAGGCAGGGGAGCCTGGGGACCCCTCTCCGGCAGGTCGGCCTTGCGATCGTCCCTCCCCCGGGCGGGCGGGCAGTACGATGCGGTGTCTCCCCGTCCCTCCCCCCGGGCGGGCGGGCGGGCAGGCGGGCGATCTGCGCCGTCTCTCTCTCCCTCTCAACCCCCCCCCTCCGGCAGGCCGTGCGAGCGCGGCGGGGCGGGCACTTACCGCTCCGGCAGATGGAGAAGCGGCGTCGTCCTCCTCCGGTGACGGCGGCCCGATCTTGCTGCAGGTAGCCGCCAACAGCGCCAGCGGCGACGGCTGGGTGTCCTATACGCGGCGGGCAGGCCGGGGACAGAGAGAAGCGGGAGGGGAGGTTAGAAGGGCGACCCGCCCGCCGGCCTTCTTCTTCTTCTCTTGCGCCGCCACCGCCTCCCTCCCCCTCCTCCTCCTCCCTCCGGACAGCGCGCGCGGCGGGGGCGCCTGCGAGTCCTGCGCTCGCGACGTGTCACCGGGCAGCACGCGGGCGGGCGGGAGAGGGGGGGGAGGGTGGAAGAGGCGCCGCGGGGGAGGGAGGAGGCGTCGGCCAGCCGCCCGGCTCCGCGTTTACCTGGGGAGTTCCGGCTTCGTCAGAGGCGTCGGCCGAAGCGGCTGCCGAGGCCCCGTTTCCCTGCTGCAAATAGTCGCCGTGGGGGCCGCCGCCGCCGCCGCCGCTGTCCACGTCCAAGGCAGCCATTTCCTCTTGTTTCACGGGCTTCTCGGGAGCTGCGGGCATAACGGGGAAGCGAAGGCGCGGGGGGGGGGGGGGAGAGGGGAGAAAGGCGGGGGGAAGCGGGGGGTGTGGGGGGGGTGGGCCGGTTGTCGGGCGGCGGGGGGAGGGGAGGGGGAGGAGAGTCACTGACTGGAGCGCTTGCCCCCTCCCTTCCCCATCGCCCCAGCGCTCCCTCCCGCGCAGAGGAGCCCGCCCTGCTCTCCTCCTCCCGCCCGCCAAGCGCAGCCCTCCTCCTCCTCCTCCTCCTCCCTCCGTGCTGCCGCCGCCGCCGCTGCCCCTGCCCCTCTTCTCCCTCCTCCCCCTGGCTCTGCTCCTCCTGCTGCTGCTGCTCAGTGCCGCTCGAGCCACACTCCCAAGCAGACGCCCGCCCGCCCGCCGGACCCGGGAGCAAGAGCAGCAGGAGCCGCCGCTGAGGCCCGTACGTACCCGTCATGGCGTGGAGGAGCCAGCGGCCAGGGGCGCCTTCTGCCGACTTGGCAGGCGGGGAGGGAGCGAGAGAGAGAGAGAGGCAGGCAGGAAGGAAGGAGAGCGAGCGAGCGCTGGCTGGCTGGCTGGCGCTCTCTCTCTCTTCCCCCCCCCCCCCGCCCGGCGCGCGCAGGCCCCGCTTGCGCCGCTGCTGCTGCTGCTGTTGCCACTAAGGCGAGGCGGCCGCGGCTGCTGCCGGGGACATGCTTATGGTGAGCTCGGGCGGCGGCGGCGGTGCTGCTGCTGGTGGAGGTGGCGGCGGCGGCCTGGAGCCCACTCCGGGGTTTTCCCCTATTTTGATTGACGGTGCGAGGAAGCCGAAAGGTGGGGCTTGCAGCAAGGGAAGAGGGGGCCCGGCCGACTCCGCCGCCACCACCACCACCGCCTTGCCCGCCAGCCCGGAACTTCCGCCTTCCCAAGACGCTCCCGTCAGCTGATTGGCTGCGGGCCGCCGAGCTCCGCGCCGTCACTGGCTGGACCGGGCTGTCGCTCCTACGCTGAGGGTGCCCCCCCTCCTCCTTTGCCGAGGTGGCTTCCTGTTTGCCAGGGTTTGTGTGAGAGACAATGAGCGCGGCCTTCTCGGAGGCGTCCGCGCTGCGGGGGAAAGGAGACCGGGGTTTTGGCCACCTCGCGGCGGGGCAGGCAGAAGCGGGACCGCTCCCCTCTAAAAGACACCCGTAGAGTCGGTGTTAAAGTGTCCTGTTAAGGCGGAGGGCGAGCGCTTGCTCTGTCCGCCTCTGATTCCCCCCTTTGCCCTGCGGAAGGGCCGGGACCGCTAGGATGGGTTGCCTCGGGGAGAGATTGGAAACTTTGCTCTCTCGAGTGCCCCATGACTGCCCGCGACAGCGGACTCAGGGCGGAGGGAAAACGTGGAAGCCGCGCAGCCCTTGCGCTCTAGAAAGGATAAGGAGGAAGAAGCGCGCAGGAACACAAACCTCCCCATGAAAAATCTCAGAGTGGCCGAGTTGGGCCCGCGGATCTGCCTCAGACCCCAAGGGTCGTTTTCTTCGCGTGTTCTCTAACGGAGCTGGCCTTTCTATCCCTTTGTGTGTGTGGTTTCTTTCTTTTTTTAGCCATTGTTTTTTTTTAAATAATGCCCCAGTTCTCAGATTTTTCAGAACAATCTGTCACGGAGGTTTAGTGTCTTCAGTAAAGAGTGTAGTTATACACGTCAAAGTTAGAAGGACTTACCTTGATAAAACGAAAACAAAAGGCCTAATCCACATTTTAAAACCGAATGACTGAACTTCCATTGGGATTAATACTTCTGAATTGTTCCTCTGAGGAGCAATTACATTTCAGTGAACTCTGAAGAAATAACCATTGGTTCTAAGTGTTCTGCGGTTAATTCTCCAGTGGTGAAAAAAATTTCATTTTTAAAAAGTGAAATCTTGGCTTAATAATTTTATATCTACATTGAGTTTTTCCATTGCTAGAAATCCCACTCTAAAAAAGTATACCATAACCTCCATTTTAGGCATTTTTTTAGTTACTGAATCTTACTGAATTTCATCTGGACTTAACCCTGAAATCTCAATCTGCCATGAAGAATGCTGTGTGTTTACTTGGCATTAAGTGGGTCATAGTCTAATTCTAAACCTGTTCCTTGAAAGCCCCACTTGCTGAGGTGTTAATTTGCTGCTATTTTGGTTTTGTAAACAAGATCACAAAGCTAGATAAATATTTAGCATTCTTTTATATAGACTATCATCTAAATCAATGGTTCTCAACCTCAGGAATTTTAGAGATATGTGGACTTCAGCTCCCCAGGCAGTATATAAAGTAAAGATCAATTTTAAAAGTTGCATTATGCGTATTATCTCAAGGAGAGACCCAACCTGGAATTAAGGGGAAATTTCTTGACAATCTCAAATAGTTGGGCTAGAAGATCTCCAAGGTCCCTTCCAATTCTGTTGCTGTTATTCTGCATCTGATATCACACATAGCATATTAGCTAAAGAAACTTAAAACAAGTTTAACCCACAGCTCTAAGAAAGTCAGTCTAATGAGCATACCACAAAGAGTTAAGGAAAAACTCTTGTTTAATTCAAAATGCCAGCAATCTTATTGGTTGCACACTGGTAATCCAGATACAAGATTGGAAAGAGCTTTTTTTTTTTGTATTTTACCAGATTAAAAAAAATATTGTAAAGTTTCCCTCCCTAAATAGCAGTGAAGGGAAATATTTGGAGGACATTCTCAGTGTTTGAAATGAGGTACCTCCAACCTTCTAGGGCTGTAAAAGATTGGGGTAGCTTGCCCATTCATTCACAAAAGGATTGCTATTTGGGGCATATTCAGAGAGAATCAATTTATCACAATACTAACTACTAACTCTTCTAGTATGCCCCACCCATGCCATAGGATACTTCTTACTCTTATTACTAATGCTGCTATTTGGGGAAGGGGGCTATGAATACAATTCCAAACTACACAGGTACAGCTCTCCATTTCTATATTCTTCTTGTTTTGTAATTAAAATTTTTATTTTTAATGTAAAAACATAGGATTGGGACCTGGGAAACCAAAAGAAAAGTTACTGAGTATATTAGCATTCTTGAGCTCCACATGCAGATGCCAGATCTAAATAGGCTGAGGATGCTGAAGATGATCCATCAGTTTATATTGTATCTTTCCAAAGTTGAAAATTTCTGACTTGAAAACTGAAGCCATCAAGAAAATGGAAGGCTAACATAGTGATGGATTTCCCTTCCAAGGTTGAAGGCTGATCTCAGGAGGGAAAGTGATAATCCCCAAGAGTTGTAGTGTGGTAACATTTTTGTTTTAGTAATCCTTTGTAGTTTATGTAGATCTGTCTAACGTTTCTACTGTATTTCATTCAATGTTCCCAATTTTTTTCTTCTCTCCTACTTTTACCATCATAAATTACTTCAATATGAAGTAATGTCTGCCTTTTTTAAAAATGCCGATCTTGAAACATCTTTAGAAAATGAGGCTGAGGGAATACTGTCCATTTAGAGCTGCCAAATATGTTAGATAAATACCACATCCTGCCATATGTGTTTCATGGAACAAGCTGATTACTAAGGAAGATGGGGATTGCTCCTTATTGCTCAAAGTAACATCTACTATAATTACAACTTTCAGGAATAGTTTCATGTGTTTCAAGTGGTTACTTCATTACAATATCAAGGTATATTTACTTTATGAATATCTTGTCCAAAAATAAATTTAGAAATAAGTTTGACAGTGATGCAAAGACAAAATTTAGTTGCATTACATGCAAAACACCGTCCTTTTAAAAATTCAGAGTGAAGAATAAGTACAATAACAAATCTAAATAATCCAAAAAAGAATAAAAAGAATATGAGTAGTCCTCTGTTATAATGTTATTTCTAACAAATAAATTGATAACTTGTATAATATAAATATTGAAACAATAGACTTTTAAAATAGAAATTTTGTATTTATGCAGTTTACATAGTGATAATATAAATGGATTTATCAACAACAAAATAATGTCCAGCTGGAAGCAGTTCCTGGAAATTTGAGGTAAAGAGAGCAAGAGGAGGCTTGGACCATATGTAGTTATCCCCATCTGTCAACAAACATAAAATGAGCAATTTCTGCTGTCTTCAAAATCAGAAAAAAATGGAATAAAAAGGAGATGCCTGCTCCCATTGGAGACACATTCAAAACCTCTGAAATCTTTCACACCATAGAATTCCCTGTCTTTGCTATAGAGAAAAAGGACTTTCACACTAAGTCTAATATATTGCTCATGTTAAAAGTCAACATAGATAATCTTTGAGGTGTATCAGTCAAAGGTTTTTTTCAAATCTGTTTATTATGATCCATAATATTGAGACTGAAAAAAACAGCTGCTACTACAGCATGGTTGCATTTTTCCCATCGGACACATGATTTCCAATATATTCCTCATAATTTTAATGCAAAGTTGGGGGAAAATGGCTATGGAAAAGTTCCTGAACAGGTAGGATGGGAGGGAAAGAGAAGACTTTTGTCCAGCAATCCTATTGAATATCATTGCTTCCTTTTTACAGACTTCATTCTAGGATGTGAAAAATGTCATGTGTACAAACTGTCCCATGTATGGAACAGCTAATTGTGGAATGGTTTGTATTTGCATTGAAATGTGTGTTTGGTTTTGGCTTGGGCCAAAACGTGTATTCTAGACAGAAGTGTTTTAAAAGGAGTGAGGGAGAGCAGGAAAAAGCGAAGGATATAGGTATCCTGCAGTAAAACTCACCCGTTCCCTTTCTGATTTTATAAAGGGTTTCCTTTCCCTGCTTCCCCTTAACCATCACCATTGTCTTTACTTAAAGGAAGGCATTGGGGAGGCTGCTACGTAAGCCATGCAAGAGTAGAAGAGAGAGGCATGCCAATCTTGCTGTCCTCACCCAGTTAGGCCTCTAGATGTTTTGTTTTTGTTTTTTTATTATTTTTGTTTTCAGTTGAAACCATGAACATCTGGAGTGCTCCACAATTCAATTTTGCCAAACTGTAGCCTTCCTGGAATAGCTCAGCAGAGCTTCTGAGACACATTATTTTCAGTTTGAAACAAAACTTAATGTTTTCTGCATATTGCTATTTCATTCTCCTTCCCAGAAATCTGGGTAATGTTTTTGGCTTCTCTCCCCTAACAGACTATTGACTGTGAATATTGGGGGAAAAAATAGGTGGAGTACGCAGGAGCTTCCCATGAAGCAATAAGAGTGTCCAGAGCCTTGTGTGGGACACACCCACATTTTAATGATCAAAATGGGGAAATCACAGTATTCCTTCCGTATTTCTACCAATTCTTGTATCATGAAAGCCGGCTGAGTGACTAAGATAGTCATTCTCTTTCTTCTCAACCCACCTCAAATGGTTGTTGGAAAAATAGGAGAAAGGAATATTACGTATGTTGGCCACCTTGAGTAGCTTATAAAAATAATAAATATGGGATAGAAATAAATAAAAATGTGACTAGAAGTTAGATGCTTGTATTAAGGATACAATTTCTAGTACAGTCCGCATACTTTTATAGGAATCCAGATGCCTTCTTCCTTTTATTAGCCGAGGCTTCCCCAAATTTCTTATATTTTACCTACATAAAATCCATCACAGTAGCTGCATAACATCTTTTGAATTTTAATACTCCACCCAATAACTTAGTAAATATTCAGAATGTTGTGTATTGGATGGAATTGTTTGATACATTCACGTTGTCTGTATTTATACTTGAAAAATAATAATTACAATTATTTTACTTTCTCATCTGTTAATCACCTTTTATCCCTCAGTCTTTCTAGTCGAGTCTGCTATTCTCTTATAACCCAGTTTCCTCATTTCTTTTGCTCTTGTTTCTGGAAAGAAAGATGGACACATTTCAGTCAATCCTTCAGGGCCATGGATTAAAATCCATGTCTTCCTCTGATCTGTTGTAGAATTCAGAAAGGAGTTAGCAGTTTGGTGCTGACAATGCTACTTTAAGGGACAGAGACAACTTTGGTTCTAGCAGAGAAAATAAAAGAAGTGGCCGCCAGTTGTAATGGGTAGAACTCTCATTGTCAGGATTGGAGGCAGAGAACTTGATACCAGTTGCCTGGGAAATGAGTGGGAGGATGCTGTTGGATATCCCATTGGGATTTGGTTGACTGTTGTGGGAGCAGAATGTAGAACTAAAATATTTGAGCCAGCAAACCGTGTGTTCTTC